ATTATTAGACCACAAGTTATTAAAGCATCAGATTCATGAGATGGAACCTATATTCCATTGTAAAATAACATGATTTACAAGCTACAGTATCTAGCCACTTAAAATGGTTACATAATAGGGAGTGAAAGAGACCTTTTCCTGAAATTTTTGGCAATACTTTAATAAATAAATATGAAATAATAGTCCAGTTTGATATAACCTTGCAAATTGTTTCCTAAAAATTAGCAGTAAAGAGATGTGAAAACATCCAAACTCAATAATATATCAAAATCTTAGTTAGATAAAGCCATGAACACGGTTACTGCTCAACTTACAACTGGTCACTTATCAGGATACTTCTGACTTGGATTTGAAGTTCTGATACTTGTGGGGATCATAGTCTCCTGACTGCATTTTTTGGCATTTGGCAACTGGGCTGCATTTATGGCCATTTCCTGCAGTCACATGATCACATTTTATGATAGTTTTTCCAAAAAGCAGCATTTACTTCTGGTTTTTAGCAAAACTCTGCCCAGGGCAATTCATTCATTTCCTTAATTGGCTGCTGTGTTTCACTTCACCACCACCACAAAAAGGGTCATAAAGGCAAGTCAGTCATAGGACCAACTCACTTTGCAATCAGCAAGTTATAATTGTGATGGGCCGATTCCCTTACCGTTGTACCTAGACCAGAGGTGTCAAACTCAAAGCCCGCAGGCTGGATCAGCCCCACATGGTGCTTAAATCTGATCCATGGGGCCAGCCTGGAAATAGCCCATGGTGCCTGTAGCAGCCAGAACAGGGCACAGGGGGCCATGCGCCCTGCCGTGGCCTGTTTTCAGCCCGGATGGCGTCCTACAGCACTCTGCTGGCCAAAATGGGACACAGGGGGACCCGACACCCCGTTTTGGCCACCAGTGTTGCAAGAGGCGTCAGTCACGTCTCCTCCTCCCCCCCAACTGGCCCACAGAGGAGAACTACAGTGCCGATCTGGCCCTCAAAGAAATCCAGTTTGACACCCTAACCTACAGCACTACCTGTAATGTGTGTTTATTATCTCTCCTCCCTCCAAAATAAGCAAATGAGCCAAATGTGATTGCAATAAGGAGTGCATCTGCACAAGTATATCTAATAATATGCCCCTTGACACTATTCCCAAATGTTTGGCTACTGTTATGGCTATGGCTATGACCATAATCTACAGTCCAGCAGCATAGAAGTGTGAATCCCTTCTTTGAGATCAAATTGGGATGTATTATTGCCAGTACTATTATCCAAAATGTATATTACTCATACATTTTTCAGTAATACATACGCAATACAGTTTTATTATTGGTGTCTTTTCACATACTTCAAACAGGTACTGAAACATTCTGTATTTCCAAAGCATGGAGGTGGGTGGATGTAGACAGATGATACATTTTTATAGACAGAAAAGCATTTTTCTTATTGTCTGCATCTCCAATATAATCAATCTTGACTATTGCAGAGCTACTCCTTAAAAAAGAATGCAAAATACAGCCTTTAGGCTACAGTTGTATGTTTTCCAATATGCTTTAAAGGTTCGTGTGCTTTCTAGACAGTTAAAGCTCTAAAGTAATGTTTTTCAAACTTTAAGGAGTGTGGACTTAAAGTACCAGAATTCTCCAGCCAGCATCAGACTTATAACTATTTTTATAGATATTTTTTTTCTCTTTTTGTGTCTCTGTCTGAGAAAGTGCACCATTCAAAGGGGCTACAATGCACCGTTTTGGAGTTGCCACACATATGTAGGGGGAGGGGGATACATGGGAGCACAGATGGGTGTCGGGTGATGGGACTCAGGAGCCAGGAAGGCAAGCCAATTGGGGTCAGTTCAGAAGTCATCCAGGTCTGAAGAGTACTTGCTGGAGGCAACCAGGAGCAACCAGGAACAGAAGTTATCTGAGCATAGGTGCAGCCCTGGAGCCACAAGTTGTTCTCCCCTGTTGTTGAGATAAAAGTGCTAATATTTATGTGCTCTTGTACAAAATGTTTGGAAGCCAGGCTGAAAACCTACCATTTCTATGCATTTCCTGGTATTCGCTTCCTTGGCAGCAAAAAGTAACTGGCCTGAGAATATTTCTGCCAGAAATGTATTTATTGGAGGAAAAAAATAGTGGAACAGCCACTATTCCGGCCTTTTATGAGAAGGAAAAGGGCCCAGTAATTACTTTGGATTTTATCACCGAGTGATGGGATAAAAGGTGAAGAGGGTTGCTTCGTAGATGAAATAACGTATGAAATGGCCCAACATGCTCATACAGCACCAAAGCAGCTCTTACACTGATTTGGGGAAAAGAAACGAAAAGTAAAAAATGATTTCTACCCTTGTTTCTTTTTAATGACAAATATTACGCAAACAATTCTATATTCTCATCTTCTTGGGGAGTGGGTGTTGGGATGAGTTTTAATTTGGCAGCAGATGTAATGCAAAGTATGTCAAGGCCAAGTGAAATCTGAGGCAACACCTTGGTGCAAATGTGTCTTTTTATCTCCCCTGTCTACTTCTGTGAACCCTAAACCGAGACAAGTCAAAAAGATTGAAGAGGAAAGAATTTTAATTTGGATTTCCCCAGTTTCTTTCAGGCATGTTATTCCTATGCTACTCTACACTTGTTTCATTCTAATGCTCTTCTACTACACACTATTGATGGTTTATTGCATTTTGTTTAGCAGTGATATTCTTTTAGACCAGAGGTGAGGACAGGGGTGGGATTCAAAAATCCCAGAAACCGGTTCACTGCCCGGTTGCTAGGTGGGTATGGCCATGGTGGGCATGGCCTACCAGAACTTCTTGTTTCAGGCTTTTTCCCCCTCCCAGAGCCTCCGCGCGAACCCTGCACTTACCTCCATCGAAAATGGCCTGCATGGAGACTCCTGGGAGGGGAGGGGTAGGGTGGGTGGGGCCAGCCAGTTGGTTCAAATACTGGTTTGGTGAACCAGATGCAAACTTAACATCTGGTTCACCTAAACCAGTCCGAACCGGTCAAATCCCACCCCTGGGGGGACCATGGCCCTTTTATGACTTGTAAGCTTCAACCCCCAGAATTCCTGAGCTGGCATCATAGTTGGCTCAGTGTCAACACCAAACTGAACCTGGCTGAACCTGGTTCAACGTTGCCATGCTGTATGGGAGAGGGAGGGATGTTGGAATGTATTACTAAACACAACATAAAGCTTTCTTGTGAGAACCAAGGTCATCTCCTGGGCAATGGTGAAAGGAGGAGACAAATACCTGAGAAGCCCACCAACCTAATTGGCCAACATGACTGACTGGCTTTAATTATACTGTAACAATGGGAAAAGTCAGAGTTGGCTTTTCTTCAAGTGTGCCGATATGATTTACCCAATAAAGACATTCTTTGAGGAAGTGCTTGGCCTGAGAGTTCTGATTTGCTTGGGTTTGTTAGTTGGAACCTTTACACTCAGCATGGCTGGCTCAGGAATTCTGGGAGTTGAAGTTCACAAAGGGCCATGGTTCCCCACCCCTGTTCTAGACTATGAAGGGGTGTTCTAAACTATGATTCTTAACAAGATTAATCTCTGGTAGAAGAAAGTAAAACCTGTTTTTTCTCTTTAGCCTTCTCAGACAAAATATGTGGTAGCATTCATGCAACAAAAACACACATTTTAAAGTAACCAGTAATCTTATATTATAAATGTATGAAATTTATAAATATAAGACTAAACTAACTTCTTTGTCTTTCCTAACGCAAGATGATTCTTCTGTGTGGTTGTTTTACATTAAAATGGGGGGGGGGAATGTTTCCTGTTGTGTTTCTATGCAATAACGAAGCTTTTTCCATTTCTTTCCAGACATGCTGAAAGTCAGCAGAAGCACATGACTGAGAAAATGCCAACGAAATAAAATGGGAAGCTGTCCAACTAAAAAACAGACTAGAACTTTTTTGCTTCTGTGGTTGTACAAACACTGATGTTCCACACCTGGCACACGAGAAAATCAGTGTTAGCCATTGATTCTGGGCACAATCTGCCAAGCACCAGGAATCCTGCACGAACCCCTTCTTAAAACAATGGCGGATGCACAGGAGTGCTTGCTGAATTGCTCCCTACTATCTGAAGCTTTATGTCCAGTGACTGGCCTAATTGCTTTTTTTAATTTATTTGCTGTTGGTTTGGTTGTTTTTTTTACTTGTGCCACTAAATATTGGACATTTCAATAACCTTATTGGAGAACAAAATGTACAATACTTATAAACATTGCAAACATGAAAAGAAAGAGGATAGTTTAACTTTTATTTTTGTTTATTTAGAGACTTTTAAGTTAAAACAGTATTTTACCATTGACTACTTTTTATCATTTCACCGTAGTTTTAAACAAATGAGACTGTAATTTGAAGGTGCTATACAAGTAAAAGAAAAAAAAAACATACATGCCTGCCTCGTAGTGAACTTGTAGCTTTCAGTAATATATATATATATATATATATAATATGTTTTCAACATTTTGTGAATGTTGACTACCGAAAGTTCATTTTTAGATGTGCTATTTAACATGCAGTTGGGTTGAAAGAGTTACCTTGAAAGTTTTATGTATAAATATGTAAAATAAAAACTAAAATTTTCTTTCATATGATGCCTTGTTGATTAGTGGGAACAAATGGTATATATTTCACTATATTTGAAATCTTATTATTCTCATTTCCAGAAAAAAATGTCTGTGCACTTGTTGATCATTTTAAACATTTGCATTTTGTTACTCTGCGTTCATTGAGCATACACAATGGTGGGCAAATTGATAGGTTTAAATTTAGCAAAAAAGACTTTGCAAGCTGAATAATTAAAGTAATATTGCTGCTACACTATGATAATTTTTGAATTTATGACTAAACAGCACACTTGATAAGGCAGCTTTTACAAATTATTTATAGAGATTTATAAGGCATTACAACGTATAACACTGATTACTAATATACAACAAATATATATGAACCATAGCAGTATTACAGGAAATATTGTATGCATAAATATTTGGGACCTGCCATTTTAAGGACTGTGTCATCTTTGCTGATGGATGGTTGGCACTGCTCAGACTGTGCAATCTGGGAATCCTCCTGGTCTCATGACTCCTGCTCCAAAATCAGGGGACAATTATGGCTAGGGAGGCCTTTATACTACTCCTTGTGGTGCACTAGTTGCACACATTCCTAGTCAAGGAGCTATGCACAGGTCACTTCTTGGCGTGCTTTACATGGGGTGTCCTTAGAGAGAACATAGAAGCTTCAGCCTGTGCAAAATGCAGCCGCGCACTTATGCATGCCTCTAGAAGAGTACATGTTACACTTATTTATTTGATTTGCCAATTGTTTACAAGATAATAAGTATAAGTGTATACATAGTTGTGAATACATGAAATGGGTACATATAAGAAAAATAAAAGAAGAATAAGAGAAACAATAGGACAGGGACGGTAGGCACGTTGGTGCGCTTCTGCTCCATGAGCTTCATTAGTTGCCAGTTTGCTTCGAGGTGCAATTCTGGTTTTGAGATTTAAAATATTCCATGCCATGGAGTTCAGATTATTTGAGACAACATCTCTCCCCAATTATATTTGTCATCTCATCAGACCTGGCAGAAGAAGCAATGCTGCAGGTCCCATTTGTAAGTCTCAGGAGGCAGGCCTGCTTCAATAACCGCATAGAGGATCTCACATAAAAGTCTGATTGAATTAAATCTATAAGACTTTTGGAAGAAAAGTGAAGAGAGAAGGAAGAACTATTCTTTCAAAAATAAATACAGGAAAGACAGAACCTGGAAGAAGTTAGGATAAACAGAAGGATCAAGTGAGGAGTTTTTGGACCAGGAAGCACACATAACAAGCATGTTGGTAAGACTCAAAACCAATGGAAAGAACAGCTTAACAAAAGATAGATGAAGGGAGAAGAGATGAATAAAAAGAAAGAGAACGCATTGAAATGACTGGTTGACTACTTCATATTCTGAAATTGGGAGAAATGAAAATTTCTGGATTGGAATTATTAAAATCAGTAATGCTAAATTTCAGCTTTGGGACTCGAGCTTGAATCAATTGAATTCGTAATACAAAATTAACATCCAAACGTATCTATTAAATTTAAATCTATTAAATCATGCCCCTTCCAACAATTCTGCAGAAAGAAAATAATTCTAATGTATCAGGCTTAAGCAAAGAGGAACATTACTTACAGCAGTTGGTAAAGCTGGAGATTGACATGATTGAAAAAAATAATACTTGGGAGATTTTGAACCATTACACACTAAATGTAAACTTGTTGAGAAAACATCAAGAACCCAAAATAGTTCAAATCTAAACTGCACATATTCTATTTTGCTGGACTCTCTGAGTTTTGAAGGAAGGCACTACTGTGTTTAGCAGTTATTCTACGGTTACAAATTATTTTTATTGCCATTTTATAAATACTTACTTTCCCTTAACATTTCAGATTAATTATTTCATCTCTTAATTCCCAAAGAGAATTATCTTAATGCAAAGTAGTAGTTGTATGGCAAATGCAAATTAGGCTTAGCAATGTAACACTTCCCTGCAGGATCAACAACAGTGGTTAAGAATCTGCAAAATTGGAGGGATACTGTCTGACACCATAATAGCATGTTTCAGAAGCAATAACAGGATGACTTACCATTCTTCTTTTCAAAATGTTTGACATTCTGATATAAAACTGAAATACACTTAACCTCAAATTTTCATTCATGCTAGGACTTCTATTAACTCCAGTGTATTGGCCCCCATTTTTCTATGCATAAAGGGAAAGTGAGATCGTTCAATACTATACTCAAGACATGTTGTAATTAAACTTGGATGATACATTTATTTATAAAGGATTAGTGATGCTAAAACAGATAACATATATAAAAATGCTGATAACATTCAATATTCAAAGAGAAAGGAAAAATTATCATCTGGATGCACTACAAAGAGAAGTCTTCTGATCTGAAATAATTGACTGTCACTTTGGAGCAAACAGATAAGCAATCCTTCATTCACTGCTTAATTTATGAATTTCTACAGAACGTTTGATCTTAGCAGGGTTTTTGTTTTTAAAAAGCCACTCTGTTTATAGATTGCTCTTTGAAATTAAATGTGATAGCTAAAATTGAAACATCTATATGCACAGCCTGCAGCTGTGTTTGCAGCAAACACTGGCCTAAAATATTTGGCTCACAAGCAACAGTGCCTTGATAATTCAGACAAAATGAGTAAGTTGCATTATACTCTACACAGTGGCAAGTGTAATTGCAAATAAATTCCCAGGGCTTCCTTTTCATTTAGGTGACTGAACAATGTAGTTTGCATTTTACTCATGTTTCCCAATAGTTCCACTGTCATTGAAGGGAGTCTTGGCTGTTGGCTAAAATGAATTTGTGTGTACAATATGTTCTTCAGTGTACAAGGAGCAAGGTACTAAACGTCTCAAAGACCTGAGTAACTGATATTCAAGCAGTCCCTTTAATATCTAAGTATTTACTTTGCAAACAGTGTTTTCAGGGGAGAGAATTATATATGTGATAGAGAACGATACATGGGTTATGGAAATCTAAGAACTGACGCTATATAGATATGACATATATGTGTTTAAGGTATGTGTTCATCATTGTTCTGATCATAAAGGATACAGATATTTTTAAAACAAATATTAATAGAATGTTTTTTATTTGGAGGAATGCTTTTTCAGGATGTTAAGCTCTTTAAGTGATGACAGCTCTGAACAGTAGTATCTTATCATTAAATAGCAATTCATTTGAGCCTGTATGTAGGTATGCACAGCTTCCATGCATAGCCCAATGCGCAAGGTGAACTTTACAATCTTTTGTTTTAGAAAATAATCTGATACCCATGTAGATACTCTTCATACTAATAACCTTTCAGGCAGAAGCATCTACATGGGAGAGACAGGGGGTGCAAATGAAGAAAGCAGAATTGTACTATTACAACATAAGCTCTGTCCCTTTTGTAACTGTGCATATACCAGGGGTATCAAACTCGCAGCGTCATGTTGTCGTCACATGACATAATGTGACTTTTTTCCCCTTCACTAAACCGGAGGTGGGCATGGCCAGCACATGACTTATCCGGCCTGCAGGCCACGAGTTTGACCCCCCTGGCATATACAAAGAGAACTTTCACCAGAACAGTATAATACTTCTGTTTTCATTATTAGAAAAAATGGAGAAAGGCAGAGTAAGACAAAGCGAGATAAGAAAAAGAAAGATAAATAAGCTAATATATATAAAAGTGAATCAGTTTGGTAAACCTGGCTAGAAACTGAGAGACTGTGAGTTATAATAAAGGAAAATATTTGTAGCTCAGGGTTAAAATGAGGGATCTGTCGTGGCCTGTTGACTGCCGGCCCCTCCAGCAGCCGAATCAGAGGAGGAAGAGGAGGAAGGCATGGGAGTCAGGGTTAGTATCAGGGCAACCTTCTTCTGCTAAGAGGCAGAAGAAGGAATGGAGGTGGCAGAGATACAGACAAAGATGAAGCCTGGGCCATCTGTCAGCCCTCAGATGGAGAGCCAACAGTCCCCAGGTCTGGAGGTGGTTGATGAAGAAGAGGAGGAACAGCTGGGTCCAGTGCCTGACGCGCGGCTGGCCAGAAGGCAGAGGAGAGCAGTGAAAAGCCTTGGGCTGATCTTGGGGAAGGAAGAGCCACAGCTGCTAGTGAGACTCCACCCTAGCTCTGGGGAGAAAAGCAATAGGTTCCAGCCAGATGGACTTGTTAGCCTGCAAGAAACTTTGGAAGTTTAGACTCAACAACATTCATTCTTAGAAAGTCAAGGACGTGTGACCCTGCACCTGGAGACGAGTGTCTGGAGGAATGTCTCCAATTGAGATGACATTTGATTGGGCCATTTGATGGA